CAGTTGTTTATAGATCTCTGTAGTATAATAAATACCTGATACATTTGCCAAGCTATTAGTCCACTGGAGACCACCAAACTTGAAGTTCCAATAGCAGCAAACATTCTACAACAATAGAATACAATCAAATATTTGATACCACAAAAAAAATCGAGCTTGGAATGTAATAAAAAAACGATAGATAATCTTTCAAAATTCTAAATACCTTCTATTTCTTGAGACGATGTAGAAAGATTTCTCTAAAACTCTTTTATTTTTATATTTATCCATGAATTTTGTCACTAATTAGCGCCATGTTAACTCGAGAAATAGTTTCGAAAATCGAGGCTTAAGGATTCATTGTTCGATGTTTTCAGCGAATTTATTTAGATTTCGAATCCTTTAACAGCTGATTAGTCGGATTTAGCCTAGATAGTTCTACAGCCAATAAGAAGGCGGGAAAGTACGAGAAATCCTCCAATCACAGATTAGGACAAAAATCCTTGTTTTTCTTCGAAGATTTTTGTTGTAACTTTATTTCTATGTTTATTGTTTAATGTAAATTATAATCTTCAGAAATTAAATACTTGTAAATTTTGCAATCATGTTGCTCTGGACACGGTTTTGTTTTAACTAAACTAAACATTGAACAGTGATGCTGCTGAGTGAACTTGAAAAGAATGACGCAAAAATCCTCCAGTCTGAGTTTGTACTGTTGAAACTGGAAATTGCGACGTAAAAAGGGGTCTTGTTTATTTCTGGAAGGTGGCGCGACAATATAACGAGAATGGGGGGGGGAAGGAATTGGAAAAAAATTAAAATTTTTATTTAAATAAAAAATCTTTTTTTAATCATTAAACATTTACAAATCAAATTAATTTTAAAAGTGTCAAAAAAAATAACAGTGGGTTGAATGAAAAAAATGTATAATTTTCTAGAAAGCCCAAAAAATGTATCTACTTATTTAAAAAAAAGTTTAAATAAAATGCCCCTCCCCCAANGCCCCCCCTAGGAATCCTTATTTACGCGCCTGCTAAGAAGATGTCCGCGTGGTTCTCATCAAACAAACTTCTGCAAATCAAACAAGTGAGCTATGAGCGGACATAAAAACAAACAAACAGAGATTATACTACCTTAAAATTTTTTGAAATTGCTAAAACGGATATATCTAAAAGAATACTATGATCTAGAAATAAATCAGTCGCAAACTACACGATTCTTCCCAAAATTTCACAATCAAAAGAAATGAGAAGACGACATTTATAAAAAGTGTAATGATAAGACGACATTTACTGAACTGTAATGAGTAAACGACATTTAAATTAAACTGTTTTTAATTTTATTTTTTAACGTTTACGTACCTATAGGTTAGTTAGCTAATGATTTGTTTAAATGTGTATTTTACGCAACCATTTTTGGGGGCATTCATTTAGTTTTGGGCAAATTTGGGTGTGAAAAATCTTAAACCATATAGCAGGGGCAAATTTTTTAAATTTTTTTTTTTGGGGGGGGGGTTAATTTTTTAAGTTTGGGGAAATCTCAAATCTTTGTTTTTGGGACAAGTTTTATTTTGGGGGGTTTTTTACAGTTTGGTCATTTGTGTGTATGGGAAATCTTAAATCTTTATTTTGGGGTCAAATATTTTTATCCATAAGGGCATTTTAAAATATATTAAGTGGCATTTTTTTAGACTAAGGTTTTTTTTGTTGGGTTCAAAACTTCTAATCTTTTTGAGCATTATAAAAATAAATAGCTGGCATTATTTTAGATGTACATTTTAAAGTTGGTTATATTAATAAAACATTTGGGAATACAAAAATTTAATTTAGGCTCAAATTAAAAATATTTGGTGCTATTCTAAAAATACAAGAGTTACAAATGTTGAATAAAGGGGAAAATTTAAGTCTGGTGGGGCAATTTGAATAAGAATGTGTGAATTTGAATAAGAATGTGTGAATTTGAATAAGAATGTGTGAATTTGAATAAGAATGTGTGAATTTGAATAAGAATGTGTGAATTTGAAGGCATTTTTTAAAGAAAGGGGAAAATAAAAAGAATCTGAATTATATTGAAAAAATGTTCAATTTGAGTTTGCTTGAAGAGTGTAGGTTTTAAAAAAATCAGTCTGGTGGCATTTTTTTCCTCAAATTTTTGAGAAAATTAGCTATTTGGACCCCCTGTTAAGGACTTCTTGCAAGCTTTCTTAAGGGGGGACATGCCCCCCCCCCTTAATCAGTGAATACATTTTATGTTCGGAAAGTCCTTAGACCAGAAATCCCTTAGATTCAAAAAACATTCAGGTTTTCAATGAAAAAATTTTGCAACCAATTGTCAAAAAACTCAAATTCATTAGCGAAAATTTTTAAAAGGATTATTTAAAAAAAACTATCGTTTAAAAAAAGATCGTTAAAAACCATAGTTTTTTGTTTTTAAAAGTTCAA